GGTGAACATTGCCAGCGTTTTCTTCAAATCGGAAGGAGTGAACATCGGCGGCGCTTGCAGGTCGGTGCCGCAGTCGTGATGTACACGACCGTCTTGCTTGCCCCGCACGTGGAGGAACTCATCTAAGGCATCGCCCCGGGCTTCCGCCCGCCGCCGCGGCCGTCGGCGTCGGGAGAGTGACACTGTCGCTGTCTGCGTCCTGCGTCATCATCCTCCTCGTTCTCCTCCTCCACTTAGTCCTCCTCCTTCTCATCTTCCTCCTACTCCTCCGCCTCCTCCTCCTCCTCGATCTTCCTCCTCCTCCTCCTCCTCCTCTTCCCCCTCTTCCCCCTCCTCCTCCTCTCTTCCTCCCCCTCCTCTCTTCCTCTTCCTCCTCCTCCTCCTCCTCTGTTCCTCCTCCTCCTCCTCTTCCTCCTCCTGCTTGTTCTCCTCCTCCTCCTCCTTCGTCCTCCTCCTCTTTTCGTCGTCCTCCTCCTGATCTCTTCCTCCTCCTCCTCCTCCTCGATCCTTCTCCGCCTCCTTCTCCTTCTCCTCCTCCTCAGACTGCTCCTCCACCACCTCCTCCACCTCCTCCTCTTCATCATGAACATCATCATCATCATCATCAGCAGCAGCATCATCAGCATCATCAGCATCATCACTATCATCATCATAACCACCATCAACATCATCAGCATCAGCATCAGCATCAGCATCAGCATCATCATCACCATCACCACCACCACCACCACCCACCACCACCACCCACCACCACCACCACCACCATCATCATCATCATCATCACCACCACCATCATCCTCATCATCACCACCACCCATCATCATCATCATCACCACCACCATCATCATCATCATCATCACCACCATCATCATCATCAACATCATCATAATTCATCACCACCACCACCACCATCATCAGCATCACCATCACCACCACCATCATCATCATGATCATCATCAACATCATCATCATCATGATCATCATCATCATCATCATCATCATCATCATCATCAGCATCATCATCATCATCATCATCATCATCATCATCATCATCATCATCATCATCATCATCATCCCCCTCCTTCTCCTCCTCCTCCTCTTCCCGTTCTCCTCCTCCTCCTCCTCCACGTCCTCCTCATCCCCCTCCTCCTCCTCCTTCTCCTCCTCCTCCTTCCTCCTCCTCCTCCTTCTCCTCCTCCTTCTTCTCCTACGTACCTCTCAGAAGGCTTCCAGAGCTCGCCAGAGACATGCCGATAAATCTCTGGAGACCTTTGGGGAGCTCGGGGCTGCAGAGACAGCCCGGGGACATCCGGGGACCTGCTCCTACTTAGCCGCAGCTGCCATGCAAATATTGCGGTGTCGCACGCGCCGGGGCAAATGGAAAAGGCGATCCTTGAGCGCTGGCCGCTGCAGCTGCCGCTGCACGCGCCCCACTCGCTCCACAGGCTCAACTCGCACTTGCTCCTAGCGACGTTGTCGTTGGGGGTGCAAGGCTTGATCTCCTGCCCTGCCCTGGCTTGAGCAATACAACATTCGCATTCGCGATAGCGCGCCCCGACGCCGTATCACAAACATCGAACACCTCCGAATCGAATTTGCGCGCGAGATCGAATACCTCCAAGTCGTCATTCCCCATGCGACGCCTGGGTAGCGCATCAACTCGAATTGTGGAAGGATCGCCCGACTCCACTTCTGGTTCACAATGCCACGCTTTAGGACTGTCGAAGTGGACCTCATTGAATTCAGGCCGAGATACTCCTAACACTGTGAACTGTCAGCTGCTTAACTCGACAGCTCGTGCCCATGTTTGTCGCCGCGGGTGGTCTGCTGGCCAATGGGTCCATTTTGTCTGAAAGAAGAGGAGCGGGTGCACTCAGCTAGGGGGACAGAGACGGAGAGAAGGCGCATACACAGCGGCTGAACGAATGCTTCCAAAAACAATCTGCGATGTGCATAGGCAGTCGAAATACGCAGGCACCCTCCTGGAGAGATGGATCAAAAAAGGGCGCATACTTATTGTCGGGGAATCTACGCCGGCATGGCACCAGCTGCACACACGCACACAAATTACTGTGAGAAAGTAAAGATGGCGTGACCAACATGTTCCATGACAGAGAAAGAGAACGCAACGGAGAAAGAGAGATGAGAGAGAAAGAGAGCGAGGGAGAAGGAAGGAGTAGAAGAGGGGGAGGGCAGACGAAAGGAAACATCAAGGAGGAACGAGAGAGGAATCGGGGGTGGTGTGGGCGGGGGGGCGGGGGCTGATGCCTGCATTCTGCCGCCAAGCCTCAGGGAGGAGAGAGGGAGGAGTTGGCAAGGGCAGGCGGGAGGAGGTGTTCGGGGGCGCGCAAACATGCATCGGGGGAGGCGCCCTCCCCAAAATGCGGCCCGTGCCGCCTCGTTCGGCGGCGGAAGTCCGCGGTTTCCCACGGACACGAGACCCGTCGCTACTCCACGCCCCCTTGATCCGTGTTTGCGATCGCCTGGCGTAAGGAGGAGACTTGGCCTATGGCGGCAGATAACCCCAGACCGGTCCGGAAAGTACAGTAGGGGCCAGTCCACAAGGAACCTTCCACAAGAAAGCCGACCCTGAGACCCCAGGACGCTCATTGACTTTTAATGCGGGAACGTTACGCCTTCCATCGCAAAACCATTGAAACCCAAGAAACCCATGGTACCCTGGAGGCAAGCAGGGTGTTTCTTGGCAAGGCCCCCCACTGTATGCCGGCAGAAATGTGGGTGACCCAAACGAGGGTCCAGCTAAAAGGGGGCGATGCAATAGATTTGGGGCGATTGTACCCCAAATGTATCGTGCCTGAGAATTGTACTACATTGAACTGCAAGTAATGTGCTACACGCATAAATGTATTGCACCCCCCACATGTATTGCAACCCCACAGATCTATTGTACCAAATCTAGTGCACCAAATCTATTGCACCAAATCTGTTGCACCAAATCTACTGACCCCTGTCTGGGCCAACCCGAAGAGATCCCCAGACCGGTTTCAAAAAGCACCTGCAGAGGCGCTCTCTTGAGCCCACGCCGGCCGGAGGTGCCCCCGGAAGCCGCCGGGGGAGGCCCGGGGCCCCGTCCAGAAACCTGGATCCTTGCGCCAACCACCTGCTCCTCGACCCTCGATCCTCAATCCTCGATCCTCGATGCCCCTCCTCGATCCTCGATCCCCCTCATCAGTCCTCGATCCTCGATGCCCTCCTGAACCTACTCCTCGATCCTCGATCACCCTCCTCGTACTCCACCAGTTACCCAGACCTCGAGTGGTCAAACAAGAAGGGCCCTTGCGATCGCCGTGCTTTCCTCCAAGGTGATGTTCCTGATGGGCTGGGCCCACCAACGGGGGGTCAAGCACCCCGAAGCCGTATCACTGTAAGATTCGTTGGCGATTTGTCGGTGACGCAGGAGGTCTGGGGAGGATGGGGACAAGGACGGAGACCAGGCAATGCCAAGGGGGATCGCCACTCGAGGTGGAGAGGTCGTGACCTCCTTAAGGAGGCGGGCCCCTCAGGAACCCCCGCCCCCCAAGAACCTCCAACGCCTGTTCACCATCGCCCAACAGTCTCCCCGATCCTCGTGCCTCGATCCTCAGGAGTCGGGGATTTGTTGGCCCAGGTCTGTCCAGACCCGGGCCAGTCAGGCCTTGCAGGATCCTGCAAGCAGCTGCAAGATCTTTGCAGGATCCTGCAACCCCAGGCCCAGGGCAAGGCACCCCTGGCCCTGCAGGATCCTGCAATCTCCGGCGCTCCGACGTACCCCCCGCGCGCCTTGACCCCCGTCGCTTGCTGCCCTGCAGGAGGAGTCGGCGCCCCCCCCTGCCCCCCCTCGGTGCCCCCCCCTTGGCCGCCGCCCGAGGGGGCGGGGACGACGGCGAGATCAGGCAGCACATCGAATCGGGAATTGGGTTCGGATCGAGAAACGCGCGTCGGATCGGGCTGCACTGGCGTGGCACTGCCGATATAACATCGAACCGGACACGGCCGCGCCAGGGTGCGCAGGTTCGCCTCACAGGCATCAGGCCGCATCGAAGCGCTGGGACATGAAGGGGCTCAAGGACACACGAATGAATACACACACACACATACGAGGATTCCCCATACCTTTTCTATATTCTCTGGATGTTTGTCTTCCCCCCCACTTCCCATCGTTTCCCATATCCTCCTGGGAATCGACGATTATTTGTGTCTGCGTGTTGTCCTTCCCTCCTGAGGACTTCGGAGCTGGATCGGATCTCGGCCACACGGGAAAGCGACCCTGGGCAAAGGGCAACGAGGTGCACAGACCCCGCCGGTCGCTGCGCGCGACATCCTGAGGGTTCCAAAAGGGGCTTTTGGGAGGGGGTGTTTTCCGGAGAGCCCCCCTCCAGGGGCCCCGGAACCTTGTCAAGGCAGGGGGTGCGAAGCCCCTGGGGGACCCCTCCTGGAGGAAAACCCTCCCCCAAAACCCCCTCTGGAAAGAAGTGCACAAAAATCGTCCCCAGATGTGTTTTTTTGGCCTATTATTGAATATTCCCCCAAGTCGAAGGACAGGCCCGACGTAAGGCGGGGACGCGGTCGGCGTGTCGCCCCGAGGCACCGTGTGGGCCAGCACCGGCGGCGCGACGCGCGGAGCAGGCGTTCCCGACCGCACGCGCAGCCGAGGGTCGGCGCCGGCCGACGCGGGATCGAAACGATCGACTCGGAATCGTGATGGGCTCGTGTCCCACCACCACCACCATAAGCTGGAGGGGGAAGAAGAGGGGGAGGAGGAAGAAGAGGAGGAGGAGGAGGAGGAGGAGGAGGAGGAGGAGGAGTTGGAGAATGACGAGGAGGAGGAGGAGGTGGGGGATGAGGAGGAGGAGGAAGAAGAGGGGGAGGAGGACCCCCTCCCCCCTCCAACTTCATTTATGGTTGTGGTGGTGGTGGGAAACAGGCCCCTCAAATCGGACCACTCGTAGCCCGCGAACGGTGGAGGAGCAGAGGACGGCACAAGCATGACAACTGTCGGGGGTGCGCGCCGATCTCTTGGGTCTGGGCCGAGCGCCCCCTGGCGCGCGGGCTGCAGCGCAGGGCCAAGGCATCCGCGAGGAGCCCCAAAAGTGTGGGGGCCCCTCCGAAACTGTGGGGGCCCCAGCGCCGATCCAAGACATCCGCGAGGAGCTCCGAAAACGTGGGGGCCCCAGCGCAGATCCAAGACACCCGCGAGGAGCTCCAACAGTGTGGGGGGGCCCCAGCGCAGATCCAAGACATAGATCCAAGAAGTCCGCGAGGAGCTCCGAAAGTGTGGGGGGCCCCAGCGCAGATCCAAGACACCCGCGAGGAGCTCCGAAAATGTGGGGGGCCCCAGCGCAGATCCAAGACATAGATCCAAGAAGTCCGCGAGGAGCTCCGAAAGTGCGGGGGCCCCAGCGCAGATCCAAGACATCCGCGAGGAGCTCCGAAGACGTGGGGGCCCCAGCGCAGATCCAAGACACCCGCGAGGAGCTCCAACAGTGTGGGGGGGCCCCAGCGCAGATCCAAGACATCGATCCAAGAAGTCCGCGAGGAGCTCCGAAAGTGTGGGGGGCCCCAGCGCAGATCCAAGACACCCGCGAGGAGCTCCGAAAATGTGGGGGGCCCCAGCGCAGATCCAAGACATAGATCCAAGAAGTCCGCGAGGAGCTCCGAAAGTGCGGGGGCCCCAGCGCAGATCCAAGACATCCGCGAGGAGCTCCGAAGACGTGGGGGCCCCAGCGCAGATCCAAGACACCCGCGAGGAGCTCCGAAAATGTTGGGGCCCCAGCGCAGATCCAAGACATCGATCCAAGAAGCCCGCGAGGAGCTCCGAATGTGTGTGGGGGCCCCAGCGCAGATCCAAGACATCCGCAATGAGCTCAGAAAATGTGGGGGCCCAGGCGCAGATCCAAGGAATCCGCGAGGAGCTCCGCAAGTGTGTACTTCAACCCCTTTTTTGTCTTTCGACAGACATGGCCCGAAAACGTCGAGCAGGGACCGACCGTCCCGGCACTCCTAGAGGCCTACCACGACATATTCTTCGATCCCACAAATTCCACAGCAACAGAAGCAGTGTTCTCAACAAAAACGGCCGAGGTGAAAACAAGACCGTCTCTGCCAGAAATGTTCTGAGAACGTGTCGTGCAGACCACCAGAGGTTCCTCGAGCAATCTGTGGTGGGCCTACGGGCACGCCAGGACGCTTCGCCACTGCTCGAGGACGGGGAGCTCCATCTCGGACGCATCGACCCGGACCGTGCCCGGCCGTGGGACCGCGGGGAGGCCGCGGGGGCTGCCGCTCGGCCGGGCATGTCCTCCTGCAGGCGGATGCTGAACGAAAAACAGAGCATGGCAAACACGTGGTAAGCAAATACTCGAACGTGGTCCAAAAATCGTCCCCAGACTATTTGTCTTCCTATGTTTCAATACTCCTCCTATAGACGGACAAGCCCGACTTACGGCTGCCGGTGACATGCCGATCCTCGGCGTCTGCCGAGCCTCGTCCCGCTGCGCCGCTGCCGGCTGCCAGCTGGCGGCGCCGCCGTCGCGCTCCGGCTCTCCCCCGCCGCGGGGCAGAAGTCCGTCCGGAGGCCAAGCTCCCGCCTCCTCGTGCTCGTCCTCGTGCCAAGCCTCAGCCTCCCCCTCCTGCCAGCTCACTCCTCTACGCCTTCGCTCTTCCGTGTCCTCCTCCTTCCTCCTCCTTCTCCTCCTCCTCCTCCTTCTCCTCCTCCTCCTCCTCCTCCTCCTCCTCCTCCTCCTCCTCCATGCCCCTCTTCCTCCTCCTCCCCTCCTCCTCCTCCTCCTCCTCCTCCTGCTCCTGCTCCTGCTCCGCCTCCTCCTCTTCACCCATCCTCCTCCTCCTCCCCTCCTCTCCCTCCCTTCCCTTTGCATTCCTCCCTCCTTTCCTCTCCTTCAATACTTTGTCCCCCTTGTCAACTTTGAAGCTCTTTTCAACGAACGATGACGCCTTTTTGCCCACTGGCCCATCGGGCGCATCTCAAACACCCATTTTGAAAGTACAACGGCGTCAATCTAAGAACATAACGCGCCGAGCGTCGCTAACCCACGCGTTGCCGTTCATGGTTGCGCTTCCACGAGGTGATGGCGATGAAGATGATGGAGATGATGAGTATGATGAAGACGATGCAGATGATGATGAATATGATGACGATGCTGATGATGACGATGAAGATGATGGTGGTGATGATGATGACGATGATGCTTGTGACGATGACGACGATGATGATGATGATGCTGCTGATGATGATGCTGATGATGCTGTTGATGGTGATGGTGATGGTGATGGTGATGGTGATGAGTATGATGATGATGATGATGATGATGATGCTGATGCTGTTGATGGTGATGGTGATGAGTATGATGAGTATGATGATGATGATGATGATGCTGATTGTGCTGATGATGATAGTGATACTGATTATGAGGATGATGGTGATGATGATGATGATGATGATGATGATGATGATGATGATGATGGTGATGGTGATGGTGATGGTGATGGTGATGGTGATGATGATGATGAATGATGATGATGATGGTGATGATGATGATGATGATGATGATGATGATGATGATGATGATTAGGAGGAGGAGGAGGAGGAGGAGGAGGAGGAGCACGGGGGAGGGAGGAAGACAGTGGGAAGGGAGAATCGAGCAGGGGCATGGGGAGGGAAGATGGAGGAGGAGGAGGAGGAGGAGGAGGAGGAGGAGGAGGGGAATGGAGGGGAAGAGGAGGAGGAGGAGGATGAAAGAGGAAGAATGAGGGCGAGGAGGACTGGAGGAGCGAAGGAGGGAGCGGGCAGGAGGATGGAGATGGAGCGCGAGGAAAAAGAGCACGAGGTGGAGGAGGAGGAGGAGGAGGAGGAGGACGGGGGAGGAGGAGGTGGAGGAGGAGGAGGAGGAGGAGGAGGAGGAGGAGGAGGAGGAGGAGGAGAGCCCTGCCTCCCTCCCCCTGCGCCCTCCCCCCCCACCTGCAGCGGCGCGCTCGCGTTGCCCGGGAGCCGGCACTCTGAGACGCCACCGGCCTGTCCCCGGGGGTGCCGACGACGACCACGACTACGACGACGACGACGACCACGACCACGACGACCACGTTGACGACGACGACGACGACGACGACGGCGACGGCGACCACAGCATCGACGACGACGACCACGACGACCACGACGCCGACCACGGCGACGACGACGACGGCGACGACGAAAGCGACGGCGGCATCGGCGGCGGCAGCGTCGACGACGGCTGCTTTGACGACGCCAGCGGTGTCGAAACGACGGCAATACGACGCTTGGACTTTGGCGGGGACAAGCAGGACCTCCAGAGAGCTCTGGAGGCGAGCTGGCTGCGCTTACCTTCTTCGGTCTTCTGGGGGGGCACTCGTGGCAACGGATGGATGCACCCTCGACGACGATGCGGGCGGCAACGACGACGGCGACGTCGACGGCGAGGACGGCCCCTGAGATCCGACGTTGCGATTGCCCTGGCAAAGTACCCTGATAGCAACTAAGGTGTGGAGGCACATGGGCGCCTGACACGTCGGCTTGCAAGAACGACTCCATCATTTTGCCGATGCGATTACGGAAATGATCTTGCTGATGAGGGTGACGTTCGTGATGTCGACAAGGTGGCATGAGCGCGCTCGGAGCAGCATCACGGATCGAGCGACCCCAATCCTGGCACCTTGAATGATGAGAAGCGGATGGCCCTGTCACACTTGATGGACCTAGGTCGGCTGGAATGGTGCGAACCCGATGCATCTGCCACAATTTCTGGACCTGCGACGGCTGAGATCGAGCCAGCACACCATCGTGAATCTCATTTCTGGATCTGGGAGGGTTGAAATCGAGTCTGAACACTCGCCTCCCCCAGTGGAGATTCTCGTGGGAAGAATATTTGAACTGACATCGAGCCGAAACACTGTAGTGAAGTTCGCTTCTGGACCAAATCGAACCAGAACACCAGAAGGGGCCGCATTTCCAGATTTGCGAATGCTGAAATCGAAACACAACACTCGCCCCCGGCTTCCCCTATGGAGATTCTCGCGAAAGGAAACCGAGCCAGAACGCAATAGGAGTGTCAGTCCTGGACCGAATCGAGCCAGAACACCGTAGTGAGTCTCATTTCTAAACCTGCAAGGCCTGATATCGAACCAGCACATTATACTGAGCCTCATTCCTGGAACGAGTCGAGCCAGAACACCATAATGAGTCTCATTTCTAAATCTGCAAGGGCTGCAATCGAGCCAGCACATTCTTCTGAGCCTGCTTCCTGGACCGAAACGAGCCAGAACACCGTAGTGTTAGGTCGGGCATGCCCTCCTACAGGCGAATTTTGGACGAAAACTAAGAAAGTCGAGCGATACACGACAATGAATGAACAATAATAATAATAATAAAAACAAATATTTCCCATACTATTTTCGACTATTTCGGGGAATTTCCCCTGTAGAGGGACATGCCCGACTTAACCATAGTGAGGGGCAACGATCGGGGGAGACTGGCATAGGGGGGGATGCACCGATACATCGCCGAGCGATCGGCGATGGACCCCGATACTGAATCCGCACCTTCCTGTGAAGCTTGGGGCTATCAGGTCCCTACCGGCGATCAGTAGGCGACCGAGGGTCGATGCATCCCCTCCTATGCCTGTCCCCCCCCATCGTTGCCCCCGAATTGAGCCTCCTTCACTTTGGGTGGCCCAAAGGGGGTCCAGCTGAAAAGGTGCAATAGATTTGGGGCAATTGTATTGCAAATGTACTGCGCCGGAGAATTGTATTGCATTATACTGCAAGTAATGTATTGCACGCGAAAATCAAGCAATACATTCGCGCCCCGGAATTTACTGCACGACCCAAACGTGTTGCAACCCCACAAATCGACTGCACCAACTCTATTGCCTCACCCCCTTGTCGCTGGACCCCCTTTTGGGTGAACCCGACTCACGCACCGAACCGAGCAAGAACACCACGGTGAGCCGCACTTCTTCACCACCTCGGACCCGCACGCGACATACCCGGAGCGCTGCCGGCGGATTCTGGCCCGAGCCGCCGGGCCGGTCCGTGAGACGTCTGGCCCCGCCAGGCCCCCCCCTGTGAGGACTCTGGTGCACGGAGCGTTCGGCCCCTGCTCCTCCTCCTCCTCCTCCTCCTCCTCCTCCACCTGCTGCTCCTGCTCCTGCTCCTGCTCCTGCTCCTGCTCCTCCTGCTCCTCCTGCTCCTCCTGCTCCTCCTCCTCCTCCTCCTCCTCCTCCTCGGCGAGAACGCCCGTTGTGACATAATTGCAACGCCAGGATCCAAGCGCGGCGGCTCCGCGGCGGCCACGGCGGCCACGGCCGCCTTCGCAGCCATCCCGCTCTTGACTACACGCAAGAGTGACCATAGAGTGACCTTTGGTGCGCGGCTTTTGTGGGGCCGCGGGGAGACCAAGGACAAGCGCGCAAAACGCTACTATCGCATCGCGTCCGGCGATCGGGGGGCCCGATTTGGGAACCCCATTTGGGGCCCACTCTACGTAAAAGGTCACTCCGGCGGTAGGTCACTCGTACAGTAGGGGGACGACCACAAGACACCTTCCACAAGAACCCCAACCCTGAGACCCCAGGACGTCCATTGATTCTTGGTGTGGGAACGCCACGCTTTCCATCGCAAGCAAAACCATCGGGACCCAAGAAACCCAGGGCACCCTGGAGGCGAGCAAGGTGTTTCTTGGCATGGGTCTCCGCTGTACGAACAGCCGACGATCGAATCGGGGATCTTCTGACCGGGGTCAATCCTGGCCAGGGTCAGACAAACCTTGCACAATCCTGCAAGATCCTGCACCCAAACCCGGGTCAGTGCGAAGGATCATGATGCAAGATCCTGCAGGATCCTGCGCCCAAGCCCGAATGCGACCCTGGCCCCGCAGGATCCTGTACGATCGGGCGCTCTGGCTGACCCCCGTTTGCATTGACCCCCGTCTCTTGGGCCCCCAGGGGGGAGGAGGAAGCGGAGAAGGAGGAGGAGGAGGAGGAGGAGGAGGAGGAGGAGGAGGAGCAGGAGCAGGAGCAGGAGCAGGAGCAGGAGGAGGAGGAGCAAAAGGAGCACGAGGAGGAGGCGGAGGAGGCTCCCGATCGAACCGCCCGTGCCGCCGGTCGGCCTCCGCCCCGCCCCGCCGGAGCTCGGGCCACGGCGCTTTCGCCTGCCTTCGCCGCGCCCGCCGCGCCCGCGGCCCGCCCCAGCCGCACCGCCACGAGGACGCCCACGTCGTGGTTGATTGTTGTTGTTGTCGTCGTCGTCGTCGTCGTCGTCGTCGTCGTCGTCGTCGTCGTCGTCGTCGTCGTCGGCGATCGTGGGGCTCGAGCGAAAGACGCACCGCTCAGGCCACGGTGGCCACAGCGGCCACGGCGGGGGCGACGTCGACGACGACGAAGACGACGACAACGACGACGACGGCGACGGCGACGGCGACGGCGACGGCGGCGGCGGCGACGGCGGCGACGACGACGACGGCGGCGACGGCGACGCCGACGGCCGACGGCGCGCGGAGGCCGCCGTGCCTCGGGGGGCAGCACGGCGCGCACCCGGGCGGTCTGCGTGGCCAGGCCGTCGCACGCCTCGGCACAGCGCGGGCCTGGCCTCGACCCTCCTCCTCCTCCTCCTCCTCCTCCTCCTCCTCCTCCTCCTCCTCCTCCTCCTCCTCCTCCTCCTCCTCCTCCCCCTCGATCCTCGATCCTCGATCCTCGATCCTCGTCCTCGTCCTCGTCCTTCTCCTCCTCCTCCTCCTTCTCCTCCTCCTCCTCCTCCTCCTCCTCCTCCTCCTCCTCCTCCTCCTCCTCCCCTCTTGACCGCGAAGACGACGCCCCCGAGACGACGATGACGGCGGCGGCGACGGCGACTACAGTGGCCCACCGCCTCCCTGGGGGACCCCCCAGTCAAAGCCCGCTTCGACCGCGAAGGCGACGACGATGACGGCGACGACGACGACGACGACGACGACGACGACGACGACGACGACGGCAGCGGCGGCACGACGACGACGGCGACGACGACACGACAATGACACGACAGCGACTACGGACGACACCAAGGCCGCCGCAGCGGCTTCGGGGCGGGCTGGCGCCGGCCACTCAGCGGACAGGCCTCGCACAGCCCTTGCCCTTGCCCTTGATGTCGCCTGTGTGCCCAGAGCTTGCTGGACGGGACGCGTGACTTTCGGCCTGAAAGGCCATGCGTCAAGCGACTCGGGGATCTTGGGCTGCAGGGTCAGGCTGGCTTGCTCGTGCCCGCGCCCCTGCCCATGCACTGGCAAAGACGCGCGGGACCGGGACGAGGAGCAGCAGCAACCGCTGCTGGACGGGCTTCCCGACGGGGGCCTTGGGGGAACAGCAGGCCCGCAGCAGCCTGGCGCTCGCCTTCAGCATCACCTCGGCGATGATGCCCGCCTTCAAGAACCACCGCCACCATCTTGGCCGCGAACGGCTGCAACACCGCTTGCAACGGCGGCCACGGCCGCTGTTGGCGGGGGCAGCGCTATAGCGCCACCTGCAGGGCAACCCCGAGGCGGCTAGGCTGGCAACCCCGGTGCTTCGCCAGCTCTAGCAGGATAAACATGTGGCGCTAACTGACTCGGTCTGTTTAAATAAATGTTTGGCGTTCCGCGCGAATTTCTTGGATCCGCGCCGGACACCCCTCCCTGGCGCGAAGCGCGCCAGGGGCGCTCCAGGGGCGGCGCCGGAGGCGCCGCCACGGGGCATACAGTGGAGATCCATGCCAAGAAACACCCTGCTCGCCTCCAGGGCGCCCTGGGTTTCTTGGGCTTCGACGGTTTTGTGATGGAGAGCGTGACGCTCCCAGGCAAAAAACCAATCGACATCATGGGGTCTCAGGGTTGGGCTTCCTGTGAACGGTTTCTTGTGGTCGGTCTCCGTCGCGGGCCCAGTGCTCACTACGATATGCAAACTGAAATGCTCCACAGGCGCCAAAGCGTTCGAGGCGTGGGATGAACAGGCACCCTATCATACGCTCTAGCTGTCTGGGTCGGACAAAGCACGGCGCTTGCGGAGTGGATCGCGCCACCCACAGGGCAGCCACGAGGCGGCCAGGCGGGCAGCCGCGGCGCCTCGCCAGACTGGCGAAGCCGGAGAGGCGCGGCGCTGCACGGCCCGCGCCGAGGTGCGCCCGCTGCGCCGAGGCGCGCGCCGCTCGGTCGCTGCCCTCGCGCGGCGAGAGCGCCGCGGGCGCCCTCGCCGCCGGGCACCGACCTGCGGCCGCTCAGACGCCCACGCCCCGTGCCTCTTCTCGACGTCGTGCGCTGGTTTGTGTCGTGAGATGCCAAGTGGCAGCCCAACAGATCCCCGTTGCGTCGTCGTCGCGCGAGCTGCGTCCGGTCTCGTGCGTGGGGTCGGCGCTGGACAGCCCCCCCCCCCCGCGGCGGCGCCCCGGGGCCGCCCAGCGCGCGCCCTCGCGCCGGGGTGAGGGTTCGCCGTGGGGCTCCCGCGCCTATGACGCGGCCGAGGAGGCGGAGGACGCGGAGGGGGACGCGGAGGAGGAGGAGGAGGAGGAGGAGGGGGGGAGAGGAGGAGGAGGAGGGAGGAGGAGGAGGAGGAAGGAGGAGGAGGAGGAGGAGGAGGAGGAGGAGAGGAGGAAGGAGGAGGAGGAGGGAGGAGAAGGAGGAGGAGGAAGAGTGAGGAGGGAGGAGGAGGAGAAAAGAGAAGGAGGAGGGGGAGGAGGAGGGAGGTGGAGGAGGAGGAGGAGGGGGAGGAGGTGGTCCAAGATGTTCCTCGGTGGCCCTCGCCGAGAATGCACATGTCCGAGCGGTGCTAAGCCGAGGCGGTGCCTCCCTTCCGCGGCGGAGGAGGGGGGCAAAGGAAGAGCAAGAGGGGGACGCAGAGGCCGAGGGCAGCCACTGACCATCGCTACTGACGTCCACGCTCTGTGCCTATATTTCGATGTCGTGCGTGCAGTGTTTGGCGGGCGAGCGAGGGGGGGGGAGTGATAGGGGAACAAACAGTTCTGACATCAACATAAAAACTCTGAGGTCCGCGCGGATTTCTCGGATCGGCGCTGGGGCCCACTGGCGGCGCCTCTGGCGCCGCCCCTGGCGCGCTCCGCGCTCCAGGGAGGGGGTCCAGCGCGGGTCTAAGAACTCCGCGCGGACCTGAGGCCTAAGGCCTTCCCATAAGGCTCGGGAGTCCCCAGGCCTTCCGAGAAGTCTCCTGAGCCTTCCCCGAAAACAAAAAAAGCTTCTCGGACGGCTCGAGGACTTCTGAGACGCCGCCTTCTGAGAAGGCCTTCTCCTTCTCAGTTCCCCCTCGCTCGCCGCCGAATTGTTCTCGCAGGATGGCCACGACGCAACTCGAGGGCCCCCCTCGCCGCGAAGGAGTGCACGCGTCCGCGCGATGCCGAGCCGCCTCCTGGGCGCGGGCCCGCGGGCGGGCACGCACGCCTGGAAGCCGAGTTGGCGCCGAGGAGGGGGGGAGCAGACGGGGAGAGGGGGGGGGGAGGGGGATGGGGGGAGGGGGAGGGGGAGGGGGGCCGGGGAGGGTGGGGAGGGGATTGGCGAGAGAATGCGGGGACGGGGGGGGGGGGGAGAAGGGGGGAGGGGGAGGGGGGTGATCGATGAGGGGCTGGGATGGAAGAGGACCACAGGGGGCTTCCTCCACCTGTTACTGTTGTAATTCAGCCTCTCGCATGTTCCTGCTAGAACCTCATGTACCCCATATCTCGCCCTCCTTGTTCGACTTACTCCTCGAACGTATCATCCGCCGCGTGAGCATGCTCCGATTTGTTTCTAGCTCCTCATCATCCTCCTCCCTTACCCCCTGCTTAGCTTAGCTTCACTGTAGCGGACTTTTCTTCTCCTGCTCCTGCTCCTGCTCCTGCTCCTGCTCCTGCTCCTCCTCCTCCTCCTCCTCCTCCTCCTCCTCCTTCCTACATTTCGATGTCTTCATCCGATGTTATCGCTTCTACTTTACTGCTGGCAATCCCTCTCGTTGTGTTTACTCTTCCTTCCCCTCCACTCCCTATCCCTCCCACTCCCGCTCTCACTCCTTCTTGTCCTCCTCCTCCTCCTCCTCCTCCTCTCCTCCTCCCTCCTCCTCCTCCTCCTCCTCCCCTCCTCCTCCTCCTCCCCCTCCTCTTCCTCCTCCTCCTCCTCCTCCTCCTCCTCCACCTCCCCCTCCTCCTCCTCCTCCTCCTCCTCCTCCTCCTCCTCCTCCTCCTCCTCCCCCTCCTCCTCCTCGTCCCCCTCCTCCTCCTCCTCCTCCTCCTCCTCCTCCTCCTCTCCTCCTCGCCCTCCCCCTCTCCTACAATTAATGCCTCCTCCCCCTCCTCCTCCTACCTCCCTTTCTACACCCCCCTCTGCTCCGCACACTTCTCTTCCGCTTCCTCCCCCTCCTCGCCCCGCTCCCTCTGGCTCGAGCCCTTCGCCTTTTTGTTCCGCCCCTCGAAAGCTGTTGCTGCTCGGCGCTTCGCGGCGGCGGTCCCTGCGATGTGCTATGCTGTGCAGGCTGGCAGCGTGTCGCTCTGCTTCGCGGGACGGGAGGCCGGGAAAGGTCCAGGACGTCGACTCTTGGGATAGGTCGGGCGTGTCCCCCTTCAGGCGGATTGTGGACGAACAATGAGAAGCACCCCAAACAATAGTCAAAACATAGTCAAACAACAGTCAAGACATAGTCCTGGGGACCGGGGCGAGGTTCGCGTGTCGGGCCGAGGCGTGGTGGGAAAGGGAAACGTCGGCGGCGCGACCCGCTGAGCAACCGTTCCCAACCGTGTTCCCACTCGCTGACGTTCTGGCTCCTCCACCTCTCCCTCCTCACGCTCCTCCCTCCTGCTCCACAGGCCTCCCTCTCCTTCTCTTTCTGCTCATCCCCTTTTACTCCGATTCTGATATTTACGTTGCTCCTCCGTCTTCCTTCATCGTCCTTCCTCATCATGATCCTCCGCCTGCTGCTGCTGCTGCTCCTCCTCCTCCTCCTCCTCCTCCTCCTCTTCCTTCTCCTAATCACCTTCCATGTCATCCTGGTCCTCATCGTCATGCTCCTCTTTCTCCTCCCTTTCTTCCTCTCCACCCTCCGCCTTCCTAGATCCGTTCGAACTCTCCCTCCCCTCCTGCCCCCCCTCCCCACCCCACGCCTCATCTCTCCTTTCCCCACTTGCCGAGGGAGAATGGCCAGGGGGAGGGCACAAGGAGTGGCAGGGGAGAGGGGGAAGGGAGGAAGGGAGAGGGATGGGGAGGGAGAGAATGGGCAGAAAAGGGAGCAGTCGGAGGACATCCCCCGCGTGCCCATCTTCCTGCGCCCGCCTTCCACTCGCCCCAGTCGCTCAGCTCGCACTCCGGAGCAGAGCTCGAGCAAGGGACATCGTTGCACATCTGAGCTTCCTCCCATCGGCGCTGGCGGCGGATCAGCGCCCTCCTCCGCCACTCCTCCATCTGTGCCCTCCATGTCCTGCGAAGAAAAATCCCGCAGGGAGCCCATTGTTCCACACAACCTACGGTGGGGCCCTTGTTATTACCCGGACGCCTCCGACTCCCATCTCCCACCTCCCTTATCCCCCAACTCCTCCTCTTCCTCACTCAGACCCTCTCATACTCAGACTCACTCGTACTCAGACTCAGTCAAACTCAGATTGACGTATACGCAGACTCACTCACATTCAGACGCACTCACAGCCTCCTCTTCCTCACTCAGGCTCGCTCACACTCAGATTCACTCACACCCAGACTCGCTTACATCCTCCTCTTCACTCTGACTCACTTATACTCAGACTCACTCGTTCTCAGGCTCACTCATGCTCAGCCTTGCGCACACTCAGACTCACTCGCACTCAGACCCACGCATACTCAGACTCACTGAGACTCAGACTCACCCACACTCAGAGTGACTCACACTCAGAGACACGCGCAATCAGCCTCACTCGCACTTGATCGCAGATCGTGAGGATGTCAACTGGTTTGCTGGCTTCAGCACCCGAAAGGGGAACTGCCAGGCTGTATTTAACTGGCCCGTTCGCCGTCAGATGGTGGGCATGTCTCAGGCGGTGAAACTGGTGGGTGGCGTGGACTTGTCTGCTTTCAGAGCAGGTTGCGAAGATATCTTGACCGCGGCGCTGGTTTCGGCACCCCGAGAGGGAACCGCCACGGGGTATTTGACAGGCCCGATTGCGGCCAGATCATGGGAATGTCAAAAGCGGTGTGCCGTGTCGGTGGCTTGGACTTTTCCGCATTCGAAGCAGACTGCGAGGGTGTCTTGAGCCAGGCGCTGCCTCCAGCCCCCTCAAGAGGGGGAGCCGCCGGTGGCTCTTTCACGGGCCCGCTCGCGGCCAGGTTGGTGTATCGTGAGCACGCCTCAACCGATCTGCTGGCTTCAGCACCCCAAGGGAAGGAACCGCCAAGGGGAATTTCACAAGCCCGCTCGCGGTGAGATTGTGGGGACGTCTCAGGCGGTTTTCCTTGTTGGTGGCTTGCACTAGCCTGCTTTCGTGGCAAATCGTGATGATGCCTCAGGTGATTGGAAAGCTTCCGCACCCCAAGAGGTAACTGCCATGTGTTATTTTACGGGCCCGTCTGCGGCCAGATTATGAACACGTCTCAGGTGGTTTGCCTGCTTTCCGAGCAGATCCCAAGGATGTCTGAGGCGATCTGCTGGTCTGTCTCTGAAGAAGGACAACCAGGGGATTTTGCACGCGCCCGTTCGCAGCCAGGTTGTGGGGCTGTCTCAAGCGGTTTGCCGATCTAGCTAGCTGCAGAGTCTTTGTCTGCTTTCGGAGCAATTTGCGAGGATGGCTGATTTGCTGGCTTGAGCACCCCAAGAGGGAGCCACCAATGGTTATTTCACGGTCCCGTTCGCGGCCAGATTGTGGGGTTGTCTGAGGCAGTGTGCCTGATTGGTGGCTTGGACTGGTCTGCTTTCGTAGCAGATCGTGAGGTTGTCTCAATCGGTTTGCTGGCTTCAGCACCCCAAGGGGGAACCCACAAGGGGTATCTCACGGGCCCGCTCGCGGCCGGATTGTGGAGATGTCTAAAGCGATTTGCCTGTCTGGTGGCCAGGACTCCTTCGCTTTCAAGGCAGATTGTGAGGATGCCTCGAGCGAGGCGCCGGTTTCAGCACTCTGGGCGGCCAGCTCGCGGGGCTGCGTCGAGCGAGGCGCTCGGCGTTGCTCTTCCCTCTCCTCCGCCCTCACCTCCTCCGCCTCCACCTCCAGCGCCACCCCCTCCTCCGCCTCCTCCTCTTCCGTCATCCTCCGTCCTCCGTCCTCCGTCCTCCGTCCTCCGTCCTCCGTCCTCCTCCTCCTCCTCTCCTCCTCCTCCTCCTCCTACCTCCTCCTCCTCCTCCTCCTCCTCTTCCTCCTCCTCCTCCTCCTCCTCCTCCTCTTCCTCCTCCTCCTCCTCCTCCTCCTCCTCCTCCTCCTCCTCCTCCTCCTCTCAAGCCTCTCGGCCCGAACCCGCGCTGCCTACGCGTGGGCTATCCACGAGCCGTGGCGCTTGCAGGCCAGTCGCGAGGCTCCCCGTGCTGTGCGCCTGCCGGCGCCTTTCAAGCTGGCACTCTTCGAATGCTCCGCCGACGCCTCGATTTTGAGACGGTGGGGTCCGTTAGCGCCAACGCGGGTATAATATCGTATCTCATCTTACCCTGCAGTTTCTTACACGGTGGGGGCATTGTTTCTCTCTTCGAGGGCCGAAACCCGTGCGAGCAACGAATTCCAACCGCAGCGCCGACTTAACAGCGCTAGCACACGCCCGCGGCGCACCCCAGGACCACCCCAGGGGAGCGCGATTATCTCCACGCGCCTCATCGCCCCACGGGGCTGGGGCCCACAGAGCAACGCGGCCCGACACACTCAGTCACTCCGCGCAGCCCGCGCCCGCGCCGGCCGCCCGAGCAGGTCGCGGAGCACCTGGATGGGGAGGTCGCCGCCGTCGGACGCCTGGATCGGGAGACCGGGCGTCGCGAGGCGGAGCGCCGCAACCAGCTCCGCTCGATCCTCGGCCTCCGCGACGGCAGGGGCCTCAAGATGGCCCTTGGACGACGCCCCCATCAGCCCAGAGCGGGGGCCCGCGGTCGCCGTCGCCACGGCGCACAGCGCCACCGCCGCCACTCCCGCCGCGCCCCCCGCAGGGGCCCCGCGACTGGGAGCCGCCGCAGTGCTGGGCAGCGCGACCAAGCGCACCACGGGCGCGCGATCCGCCCACCCGTCGCCGAGGCTATCGCCGGAATCCTCCACGTCCGCCTCCCTCCCGACCCCTTCCGCCTCCATGGGGGCCTCGGCAGCGCCCACGGGCCTGGCCTTCCGGCCGCGGCGGCGACGGCGCCGGGGCGCGGGGGCGCCAGGGCCACGGGGCGGCTCGCCGGCGGCGGGGCCTGGCACATCTGCCGCGGAGGCCTCCCCATAGGGGGGCCGGGCGGTCGCCGGCGCAGGCCGCCTGGACGGCGCCTGCGACTCGGCGGCGGCGGCGCGGATCGCGCCCTCCGCGCACCGCAGCAGGCGGCGGCCGCGGAGCTGGGGCGAGAGAGGCCGCGGAGCGCCGCGCGCGGCGAGGCACGCCCCGCGGGCGGCCGCCAGCGCAGTCGCCAGCGCCAGGCGCTGTGGTGCCCCGGACAGCAGCGGTCTCGGGCGGGCGGCCGTCGGACGGCGCCCTGCGGCACGTGGAGCTCCAATCGGGGCTTAGTCATGGATATCACCGCCGCCCTCATCAATTAAGGAACCCTCCAGGGTCCGAGGCCTCCTGGGCAAGTTCCTTAACGAACGCCCCCACCGTATTAGCATACCTTACTTTATCGTATCTTGTCTTATCTGATCTTATCTGATCCTCTCCTGACGCGCCAGCGCTGGGACGTCCGTTCCCCGTTCATGTTTTGGTTTCATACGTTACCTGTTCCGCAGGATGACCCAAGATGCTCCGCGATGGCTCTCGCCGAGGACGACATGCACAAGTCCGAGCGATGCCAAGGAGGGGAAGTTGGGACGGGTGGACGTATTGCAACATCAGTGGCGCATGTCGGGTTCAGTCTGCCCCCCGCCCTCCTCCTCCTCCTCCTCCTCCTCCTCCTCGTCCTCCTCCTCCCCCTCCCCCTCCCCTGAGGAGGGAGTGGAGGATCAGGACGGGGACGGCTTTGGCAGCCATGCCTCTGGAGCGCAGCAGCGGGCTGCCCCCGTGCTCCCCCTCCCTCGTCTGCCACCCTGCGAACTCTGTCCTCCTCCTCAGGGATCCACCTGCTCGCGCCCCTCCTAAAAGACAGCGTGGAGAAGCAGGGAAGGCTCACCTGCGGTGCAAAAGTATGGCGGACTATAAAAACACTGGGTGGGACTGTGGTCTCCTGCTGCTATCCCTACTCTCCGCTCTGCTCCCGCATCCTCCCTCATCTCTCCTCATCCCTCCTCCTCCTCCTCCTCCCTCCCTCCCTCCCTATCCCCCCCCCCCTCCATTCTCGCCCTCCCTCCTCCTTTCTCCATCCTGTCCCACTCAATGGTGTTCCCTCATCTCCTGATTATCGTCCTTTTCCCCTGCCAACTCTTGAATTTGCCGTGTCCCCCAGATGTTCCCTTGAGTTCCTGTGTCCGCCTTTTCCATTCTGGCGTCGATCCCCATCCTTCCACTAGCCTCCCTCATCCATTCTCGGACACCTCCTCCTTCTCCTTTGGCATACTTTCGCAATTCCTGCATCTTGTTGCCTCCTCATTCCTTACATTCCTCCCTCCCCGTTATCCTCCTCGTTCCTTCTCCCGATCCTGCATCACCACCTCCTCCTGCTTCTCCTCCTCTTGGTATGCTTCCTCGTCCGTGCTGCCTTCTCCTGCTTCTGCTGCTGCGACTCCACCTCCTCCTCCGCCGCCTCCTCCTCCTCCTGCTCTTCCTCCGTCCCCGTTCTCCGCTATGTTTCCCATCATCCAGCCGCTTTTGTCCTCCTCGGGTCCCTCCGCCTTGTCTCATCATCCTCCTATACAATCCACGTCATCTTCTGTGCTTCACTCCTGAGAGAGGGAGGGTAATGCTTGTTGGAAGTCATTCGCTCATGCAACTCGTCAAGAAACTTCGATTGTCAAGGGGAGGGAGGGGTACACAGTCAAAACGGCACGTCAGCCGTTGCCGAGAGGTTCAATGAAAGCCCTCTGGCATGCTCAAGCAGCAATGGGCTTTATCCACAGGGTGGAGTCCGATGGTCGAATCTGGCTAGCGGGTGCTAGTATATCTCCTCTGGGAGATTGAAAGATATGCGCCTGGGGCTTGCAACAAATTATTTGTTTCGAGCGATCCCCACCGAAACCTTGGACCCCTGTCCTCCTCCTCCTGCCCCATGCCTCCTTCCCATCCTCCTTCCTCCCCCCTCCCATCCTTACACTGAGGGGCGCAGGCAAGGAGGCCGCCCGCGGCGGGGCGGCGGCAAATACTGCGGGATGTTCGGGAATACTGGGGGCCTGGCATGGTTTTGGTTTGTTATGTGATCTTCCAATGCTTTAATTTGGTGTGTTCCGTAATGTTCTGTGGTTATCTGGTATGTGACTGGTTTGTTGTGTGATGTTATGAGGTGCTCTGTTCTTTCATGCTAAGCAACATTGTGTTGGCATGGTTTGTCATGCTATGTTATGTTATGTCGTGTTATGTGTGCAATGTTGTGCTGATCTGTCATGATGTAATATGGGATGATCTGCGATGTTATGTGATGATATGTGTTGTAAGGATACTGACATAATATGTTCCGCCGTGTTATGGCATGATCGCGCTTTCTTATATTACATGTTATTGTGACATGTTGTGTTCTGTCGTGCTCGTCGCCATGCCCTGCCGTTGTGTCATGATATGGTCTGAACGCTGTGTCATGATATGACATGTTCCGTCAATGTGTGGTGTGCTGTGATCCGTTATGGTATGTTAGTGTGTGTCCTGTCGTCTTCTGTTCTGTAAGGTTCTGCCCGGATATGGTCTGTGTTGTTCTAATGTGATGTGTGGTGTCAAGGTATTGCTATGTTGTGTTATGTCAGGCTCTGCTGTATAATGGTGTGTTGTTTCGGGTTTGTCGAGGGCGCGACTCGGGGATTCTCGAGACAACTCGGGGTCTGGCCTGGTTGTGGTTTGTTATGTGATCTTCTCTAGCAATCTGGTTTGGTTGTTTTCTGTGATGTTATGTGGTTCTCTGTTATGTGACGTTCTATGTTGGTTTGTTATGTAATGTTCTGGTGTGCTCTGTTCTTTCATGCTATGCATTGTTTTGTCGTGTGCTGTCATGCTCTGTTCTATGTTGCCGTGTTCTGTCTACTATGTTGGTCTGTTCTGGCGTGATATGCTCTGGTATGTTCTGTGATGGTATGTCATACTATGTGTTGTAATGGTACTGTCATGTTATGTTCTAACATGTTATGTCATGGTGGCACTATGGTATAATATCTTCTATCGTGGCACAGTGTGTTCTGTCGTGTTCGTCGCTATGCTCTGTTGTCGTGTTATGATATGTTCTGAACGCTGTGTCATGATATGATATGTCCCGTCAAGGTGCGGTCTGTAATAATCAAGTATGGTATGTCAGTGTTTGTTCTGTCGTTTTGTTTTCTGTAATGTTCTGCCAGGGTATGTTCTTTGTGAAGTTATAGTATATTCTATGTTGTCATGAGGTTGCTATGGTATGTTCTGGTTCTATTGTGTACTGGTGTGCTGTTTCGTGTTTGTCGAGGGCGCGAGACGGGACACCCAAGGACACTCGGGGACTCTCAAGGACACTCGGGGACTCTCGGGAAAACTTGGGGTCTGGCGGCCGCGGTATGCAGTCGTGTTTGTCGAGGGCGAGGGGGCGGGATTCCCAGGGACCCTCGGGGATCCTGGGGGATTCGCGGGACAACTTGGGGTCTTGCGGCCGCTGTATGAAGGGTGGGATTGGCCGCGGGGTCTGTTCTCAAAACCTAACAACCAAACCTGTCGGGTGGGGAATAACGAATCGGCATGCATCAGCACGTCATCCTTTTCAGACCACTAATGCGGTCGATTCGAATTTCAACCTCAATCTGACGCTCACGATGCTTACCAGCGCGATGCTCACACAATGAATTATTGCATCATGGATGTGGACGCTGTCGTGCAAACGATGTGGGTAAACTATGCGGTGCACGCTGTGCCGTGAACTATGCTGTGCAGGGTATGTGGTTTTCGATGTATGGTGTACGCAATGAGCTGTGCGGTGCAAGCTATGCGGTGTTAGCTATGTGGTGTAAGCTGCGTGGTGCAAGCTTCGTTGCAAGCTTTGTGGCACAAGTTACGTGGAGCAAACTATGTTGTGCAGGCTGTGTGGTGAAAGCTGCTTGTATTCGGTGCCAGATACGTGGCGTAAGCAATCGTGTATACGACATGTAACATGCGGTTTAAGCCATGTGGTGAACTGCCATGTGGTGAACTATGTGGTGCAGCTACATTGATGTAATATGTGTGGTGCTATCACCGTGGTGCAAGCTACAAGGTTCGAGCTGTGGCGAAAGGTATTGTGCAAGCTGTGCGTTGCAAACTATGTGGTGCGTTCTGCGTGTGGCGAATGTGACGTGGTGCGAGCGATGCGTTGCAAGCTGCGTGGTGCAAACTATGTGATGCAAGCTATGTGACGAAACCTGTGTGGAGCGAGCTGTGTGGTGCACTCAGCGCACGGGGCGCCAGCGAGGCGCCCACGACCGGACACCGAACGGGATTCTTCGTGTGGCGAATTCGATGTGGTGCGAGCGAGGCGTTGCAAGCTGCGTGGTGCAAACTATGTGATACAAGCTATGTGACGCAACCTGTGTGGAGCGAGCTGTGTGGTGCACTCAGCGCACGGGGCGCCCACGAGGCGCCCACGATTGGACACCAATCGGGTACCACGCGAAACCCTAACATACCTACCCAATCGCACGAGATGCCCACGAAACGCCCACGCCAAGCGACCAAGCTGCCACCAGGCAAAATCCCGATAGACCCATCCAAGTACGTATTAGCGCCTGTAAGACAATCTAAGTGCAAGCACGGCCTGGCGAAAAAGCACCGACTGCGTACTGTCTCCATCACCCACCCATGGCGTGTGGAAAACAACACTCCACGTGCGCGCCTTCATGCAGATAACGCCAACATGATGCACAAGCGAGGGCGCGAATCGAGCGCGAACACGACCCCAGGTCACTGTCAATGAACATGTTGAGTGCCTTGACCACTGCTGCCCTGACAGCCAGGCGATGACCATTTCCCCTCGCCGTCCGACATGGCACCGCTGCAGGGCGAGCCGCCGTTCTCGCGATGGATGGCAATCCTCCGCTCCACTGTTTGTACTGCCCTTCCCGACACTCTGCGACCAACTTCAGCATCTGATGCACCACGCGCAGGGCAACACAATCATGCACGGGAGGCTTCCAGCCGACAAAGTCTAGGCTCACCAAGCACACTCAGCACGTGCTGCTCGCCGCGCATCCGACTGCTCAAACCATGCCCTGGTTCAGAGGCCACATGCGAAACCTACCTCAACACCCCACGATGCCTAAGGGGGGAGGTGGGGTTCACTTCGTTCGGGACCTCCCAAGGGAAGTGAACCCCACCTCCCCCTAGGAATAGTGGGGTGATGGGGTAGGGCTCGCATGTGGCCTCCTACTGGTGCGCTCGGCGATCGGAAGGACTCCTCGGCCCACTGTCTCCACCCGCGCTGGTTGCCTCACCTGCTCGCTCCATTCTCCTGCCCCCCTCCTGCTCCTCCTCTCCCTCCCCCTCCCGCGCTCGCAGGAGGGGCAGATTTGGACGCCCGAAATGGGCACGAGAAAAAAAAGGGTACAATGCCGAACCACAAAATTCGTCCAACATCGACAGCGGCCGCTGTTGGGCAGGCGGCTCTCTGTCTTGAAAGAACAACATCCGCGGCGGCGCGGAGCGCGGACAAAGAGTCCTGCTCAAGATGAGCAGGATCTGCTGCTGGGCGTTGTACCCGTTCTCTCCGTGCCACTTTCGATCGTCCCGAGCAGAGGAGGACCGTTCTTGCACGCGCTGACCCCGACGGGGCGCTGGCCGCGTCCTGCGGGCGCGGACCTGCATGCCGCCGCCGCAGAGGGTGCTGCACTTGGCCCAGTCGCCCCACTCCGACAGCTGGCAGTCCTGCCCCCCCCCGGAGGTAGCAGGAAGAAGCTCAGGAATTTGCACACGAGGGGCAGCCGAAGTTCTGAAGCACATGAGGAAAAGGAGCGAGGGAATAGAGCATGAACCGTCGCACGGTGGCGTGACGCAGAGGAGGAAGGGAGAAGGTGGAGGGAGAAGCAGGAGAAGGAACAGTAGGAGTCGTTCGATATTTGTTTGCTGTGTGAAGGGTCTGAGGCGCATGATCAGAGCAGGGCAGCACCAGTGGTCCAATAGTGTGCCTTAGACCAAAGGACGGCGACTAAGGGTTCCCAAACTGCAAGATCCACCACCGTGCCTTGAGCACATTGAGGCGTGGAAGAATGCCAAGGGTTGCCTGACAAGGTTTCTGTATGATCCGCCACCGTGCCGTCGCACGTTGAGAGGCGTGGAAGAATGCCCCGTGCTACCTGGCAGGGCTGCTGTGATTTTCTCAAGCCCTCCCCCCCCATCTAGCAGCGCCCAGCTGCGTGCACCACCCCTGCTTCTGGGCCCTGGGCGGCCAAGGCCGCCTCCCCGGTGCACTCCCAGGCGTCCACGGCACCCAGCATGGCCTCCAAGACGAACCTGGCAGGCCACCAAGGCCGCCAAGGTGGCCCGAGGGGGGTCTCCTTGACGGCCCAAGATGGCCTCAAGATGGCCCAGAAGGCATCCGAGACGGCCCGAGAGGGCTCCAATAGAGTCTCCAGCACAACCCCAAGAGGCCCAACTCATTGATGTTCCATGTGTTGGTGAAGGATGGTTGCATTCTCGCCGTTTGGAGCTTTCGTCGGCTCAAGGCAGCTCCACAAGTCTTCAATATGGCCTCAAGACGGCCCAGGAGGGCACCCACAAGGCCTCAATGCGGCCCAAGAGGGCGCCAAACTTGCCCAAGAGCGTCTCACAGGGACCCCAAAAGCACCAAGACGACTCAGAGAGCCCCCCAAGATGAACCCTGAAAGCGCACATACGGCCCGAGAGCGACCTCTGACGGCCCAAGGAGCCTCTAAGAGCCCCCAAGGCGCCCCACAAGGCACTGCCAAGAAGCCCCCCACAAAGCCCCACCGAACCTCTTCGGGAGGCCCCCAGAACCGTCAAGCGACCCGAAATGTCACACTTCACGGCCTCCTGTGCCCCCTCGACCAATGGCCGCCCGACATGCTGGAATGGCACGGTGGCGGGACTTGTCGCAAACAGCTGGCTAAGATGGGACACCTCCCCTGAATCACGGATCCCTGCACGCATCCCCCCCCGAGGCCGCGACCCCGTGGACAAGACCGACAGAGCCGCGCTCCTGAAACCACGATCCCTTGACAAAAAGAACTACGAACATGCGTCTGGGTTTCCAAGACGTCCCATGCAAACAACCGCGGACACCGCTATGACCCAAGATGCTTCGAAGACGGCCAGCGATGACCCCAGGGCGGCCCAGTATGGCCCCACGACGGGCCAAGCTGCATCCAAGAAGGCCATACATCTGACCTCCAACATTGCCCGATATCATTTAGATTGTTGCAAGATGAGTCTCGCAACCTCGCCTTTTCGGGCTTCCGCCAGCTCAAGGCGGTCACAGAAGCCTGAGCGATGGCCCCACGACGACTCACGAGGCCCCCCAGAGGCTCACACGATGGCCCACGATGTCCCACGATGGCCCACGAAGCAAAGAAAAAAGGCCCCAAGACGGTCAAAATGCCCCCCCCCTTGGGACCCGACGGCCGTAGAAGGCCCTTCGACTGTCCAGGACGGCCCTCATACGCCCACCATACGGCCACGAGGGCCCCAAGACTGCCCACAAGAGCCACAAGACGGCGCTGGAGGGTCCCAAGACGGCCTCGTGGGACCCCCACGGCGGCCTCCAAGGAGGTCAAAGCAGCCCAAAGGCGGCCCAAACGAGTTATATGTGAATTTCTCCAAGACTGAGGGCGACATGTGTCACATGCGATGGCCGTCCGCTTCCTCATCATCCTCCCCTTGCCCCTGCTGCTCCTGCTGCTCCTGGTGCTCCTGCTCATGCTCCTGCTCCTGCTCCTACTCCTGCTGCTGCTCCTCCTCCTCATCGTCCTCCGCCTCCGCCTCCTCGTCATCATCATCATCACCATCACCATCATCACCATCATCAGCATCGTGATCATCGTCATCATCATCAGCATCATCACCATCAGCATATCATCATCGTCGTCGTCATCATCATCATCAGCATCAGCATCAGCATCAGCATCATCATCAGCATCATCATCATCATCATCATCATCACAATCATCATGATTAGCATCATCATCATCATCATCATCAGCCGCATCAGCATCAGCATTCTTAGTATCACCATCATCATCACCACCACCATCATCGTCAGCATCATAAGCAGCCGCATCATCCGCATCCTCATCCTCATCCTCCTCATCAGCAGCATCATCACCAACAGTATCCTCATCATCATCAACAGCATCGTCTTCAACTTCACCATCACCACCATCACCATCATCAGCAGCAGCGGCAGCATCAGCATGAGCAGCAGCATCGTCAGCATTAGCACCATCACCATCATCATCAACACCATCACCGCCATCAGCATCGCCGTGATCATTCACACTGACAGCATCATCAGCATCCTCAGCAGCATCACCAGAATCATCATCGTCCTCATCACGTGCAACATCATCATACTCCGCATGATCCTCGTAAACTCTAGTTCCAACACCAGCATGCACATCAACATCATACTCATCACTAGTCGTACCGTCATCCTGATCGCAATCGCAATCAGAACTAGCATCAGCGCCACCTCCGTCCTCACCATCATCCCAATAATCAGAATCATAACCACCACCCTCACCATGATAGTCGCCATCACTGCCATCATCATCATCATCATCATCATCATCATCATCATCATCATCAGCATCATCCTCATCGTCATCATCACCAGCAGCATCAGCATCACCACCGTCATCAACACCATCCTCATCATCAACAATTACCCCAGTGCGACCCTACCTAGAAGTTGGAGCCCCTAGGAAAGCAGCATGAGTTGCAATGCTATGTTATGCTGTGCTATGCCATGCTATGCTGCGCTATCCTATGCTATGCTATGCTATGCTATGCTATGCTATGCCATGCTGCGCTATGCTATGCTAAGCTATGCTATGTCATGCTGCGCTGTGCTATGCTAAGCTATGCTATGCTATGCTAAGCCTCGCTATGCTATGCTATGGTATGTTATGGTATGCTATGCTGCGCTATGCTATGCTATGCTATGATTGGCTATGGTATGTTATGCTATGTTATGCTACGCTATGCTGTGCTATGATGTGCTCTGTTATGCTAAAGCTCGGCGAAGCTAAGATGAAGGTAAGCTAAGCTAAGATAAACCTGAGCTAAGATGAAGCTAAGCTAAACTAAGATGAAATAAGCTAAGCTACGATGAGATAAGCAACGCTAAGCTAAGGGGACGTAACTGGGGGAACCGCGGGGCGGATACTGGGGGAACCGCCCGGGGCGCTTTCCACTGCCCGGCCCCTTCAAGCCCAGAGAGTAAGAACCCTTCTAGGCAGAGCCTAGGTAGGGAACAAACTCATCACCATCGCAATTATCGTCGCTTTCATTATCATCGCCATCAGCAGCATCATAATCATAATCATAATCATCATCATCAACATCAACATCACCACCACCATCATCGCCATCATCAGCATCATCATCACCATCACCATCACCATCACTGTCACGTTCACCATCAGCATCAGCAGCACCAGCACCAGCACCAGCAGCAGCACCTGCATATCACCATCATCATTGCCACCAGCATTATCAGAATCATCAATATCAAAAACAACATCATCATCACCGTCATCATGATCACCATCATCATTGTTACTATCACGGTTCCCCAAACTTTGGAAACCCGATGCGCCACACGTAACGGTCTCCCGTGCCCCCTCGAAGCTTCGTCACCCAGAATGCTGGGCTGGTACGGTGGTGGGACTTGCCGCAGGTAGCTAGGTATGTTTGCAGAGGATGGCGCTGAACTTCGAACGCCGAATTTCAAGGACGCACAGGGCGAACTTCGGCAAACTGATCAAGAGATAAAGTGACAGCGCGGAACAAACACATCTCAGCTCGCCGTCTCGCCGTGTCCGACTTCTTCCGCTGTAGCTGCGAGCCGCCACTACCTCCACCTGTCCTTGTGAGTACCCGTGCTAATGTAATTCCCTCTCGCGGTATCTCTTTCCCTCCTGCGCTCTCCGAGCAACTACAAACAGACAAACAAAGAACTATAGATAACGGCCCACGGGGAGGTGGATAACCCGTCTGCCCCGGCAAGGCACCAGGTCTGAATTGATAGCGAAGCTAGGGGAACGGAGAATGACATAACCATAAAAACTCTGAGGTCCGCGCGGATTTCTCCGATCTGCGCTGGACTCCCCTCCCTGGCGCGTGGAAAGCGCCAGGTGCGGCGCCGGAGGCGCCGCAAGGGGGGTCCAGCGCGGATCCAAGAAATCCGCGATGACCTCCGAGTTTTGATGTTTATGTCATTCTTCGTTTCCCTAGAAGTGTGACAACGCGAGACACAGGATCACTAGCAACATAATCCCAGCAATCCATTGCAAACCAATGTCGCAAACTTTGTGGCGATCCAAGCACCCCGACGGAAGCAACGGCAACACATTTGATCATACACGCGGCGTATGCAGTGCCTGGCCATGCTCTGGAAACCTCCATGCCACACGAAAGTGGGCTGCCACATGCGAACGAGGGGGAGGAAGAGGAAGAGAAAGAACAGGAGGAGGAGGAGGAGGAGGAGGGAGGACGTTCTTAGCACATTCGCGTCACAGGCGTCAACAATAGCCCTTGGGATATGAAGGTAACTAGCCAGCTCGCATCACCGCCCAATGCCAAGACAGAGCTAGCAGGCCACCAAGGCCGCCAAGATGGCACACCATGCCTCCATGACGCCCCAAGGCGGCACAACATTGCGCCTTTTCGGACTTCCATCTGCTCAAGACTGCCCAAATGACCGTTGCTGCGTTGCTTTCTTTCCTGAGTACAGTCATCGGCCTGACCTAAGGAACGATATATAAGGAACGAAGCCCCTTTTTTCAAGCAGTAATGCATAAGGAACGATAAATATTACATAACGCATAAGGAGCGATCAATAACGCATGCAAGCCTAAGGAATGACCGAGGCCCTTTTGAAAAAGAAATGTTCCTTACTCAAACCGCTCACTGTAACGGTCGTTACCCGGTTGGTGGTCGTTCGGGCGGGAGGGCAACGGTAAAAGGCGGCCGCGGCGTGCACCCGCCCGCGTACGTCCGCACCCACCAGCACCTCGATCGCCTGTGCACCACAGCATGTAGATGACTACCTACCAGACCACCCCAACGTAACCCGAAGATCCGAATTTCGCCTGAACTTCGGATTGGGGGGGGGTACGGGCTTCATATGTGTTTCTCAACATGTTCCCCGACCCCCCACCACCGGAAATGGAGGGTCAATCGGGGCCTTCGGGTTGGGTTGGGGTGGTTTGGTGGGCGGTGAGTAGGTGTCCAGGCCACTCCCCCCCAATGCGATTGTTAGCGTTACCCGTGGGGGGGGTGTTTGAACCGGGTAACGACGAGTTACGCTGGGGTGGGACAAAAAACAACGCTCACCAAAAGACCTCCAACATGGCTCCACGACGGCACAAGAAGAAGGCATCGAGATAACCCAAGAGGCATCCAAGACGGCCCCAAGACAGCTGAAGAGGGCCCATGGACAGCGCAGGACTGGCCCAAAAGGGAATGAAGCTGGACCCAAGGGGCCATCGGAGGGACCCAGGTGGCCACACCTTTGAACCGTCGATCACGAGCGGCGAACTCGTCCACAGCCACGCCCTCCCAGTCTTACGTCTTCTTCATCATGACGTTTTCTGGTCACAACTCGGGTCTCCCGGGGCTTTTCGGGACGATCGGGGCACCCCCAGGCGCCTCTCGGCGAGGCGCAACCGTTGAAACGCACCCCGAGGCTGGGAAATCGACGCGAAGCAGCGAAGACGCCAGAAAGACTCGAAACTCGAAGCTGCTAAACTCTAGGGCGCGATCCCGTGGACGCGTGGTCGCACCGAATACGTTCCGCGCGGGGCATCTGCGAAGAAACGCCCCGTTATCCGCGGGGTCGCGGCCCAGGGCCCTTGGCCCGTGAGCCCGCGGCTGCGGGTATGTTGTCCGCCCACGGCCAGCTGCTGCTCGGTTCTGATTGCCCCACGGTTCCAGGATGGTCATGGGAGGCCAGGAGCAAGGAAACCCTGCACAGGGGCGGAGGACGGGAAGTCGAGGCACAGCCTCCCCTGAGAGAGCTGTATATGTATGTGTAAGTAGATGTAAAACGCACATACATACAGACAGACAGACAGACAGACAGACAGACAGACCCCCCCCACACTCGGCGCCGTCGATCAAAACTGGGGGGATCCTCTCCCCGCCAAACCCCCCCCTCTCGAACCTCCCCCCCCCTCCTAGAGAGAAGGGGGTTCAACCCCTCCCCCCCCGCGCCGGCGCCGGCGCTGGCGGCCGCCAGCATCGCCCACGGCGGGGACGCAGCGACGATGACCAGAAGCAGCCCAGGGGAGGGGGGTTCAACCACCCCCTGCACCCCTTGGCGCCGGCGCTGGCGGCGGCCAGCAGCGCCGGCGCTGGCGCCGGCGGCGGGGACGCAGCGACGATTAGCACCACTACCACCACCACCACTACCACCACCACCACCCCCCCCCAACCCCACCACCACCACCCAAACACACCACACAACCACCACCACCACCACCACAGCCACCACCACCACCACAACCACCACCACAACTCACCATCACCACAGCCACCACCACCACCAGGAAAAAACCCACCACCACTACCACTACCACCACCACCACCACCACAATCCACCACACCACCACCACCACGGCCACAACCACTACCAGCAGCACAACCCACCGCCACCACCACAAACCACCACACCACCACCACCACCGCCACCACCACCACCACCACCACAACAAACGTCCACAAACCACCGCCACCACCACAACCCACCACCACCACCACAAACCACCACCACACCACCACCACACTACCACAATCACCACCACCACCACTACCACAACTCACCATCACCTCCACCACCACAAAAACCCACCACCACTACCACCATGACAACAATCTACCACACCACCACCACCACCACCGCCACAACCACCACCACTACCAGCAGCACAAGCCACCACTATCAATACAAACCACCACACCACCACCACCACCACCGCCACCACCACCACCACCTCCACAAACCACCGTCACAACCACAACCCACCACCACCACCACCACCACCACCAAACGACCACCACACCACCACCAAGCCACCGCCACCACCACAACCCACCACCACCACCACCACCACACAAACCACCACGTCACACCACGACCAAACCACGACCACCACCACCACCCACCGCCACAACCAACACCACCACCAAAACAAACCACCACACCATTACCACAACCACCATCACCGCCACCAGCACCACCACCACAACCCACCACCACCACCACCACCGTCATCCTCGTCGACGCTCCCCGCCACCGCCGCCCGCCGCCGCAGTCGCCGGCGCCGGCCCAGAAATGGAAATCGTCGTCCTCGCCGCCGTCACCAGCCGCTGCCGACGCAAGCGCAGCGCCGGCCCGAGGAGAGGGGAAGCAGGGGGGGGGAGGGGGGGTCGAACCCTCCCCCTTCCATCAAGGGGGGAGGGTCCTGTTCCACCCCCCCCCTCCAAGCGACCACAGAACGCGCTCTTTCATATGTATGTGCGTGTATGCTTCGGAGTGTGATATTTTCCGCCGCGCCAGTTCTCCATCGATCCTGGCCACAAGACGGCGGTGAGTGGCCTAGGGAGGATAATATTGGACGCAAAGGAAGGATCATCCGAAGACGTGCTGCCCTTCAAGATTTTGGACCGAACGATTGGTGACAATGAAAACAGTGATGCTGCTGCTGATGCTGATGATGATGATGATCATGATGGTGCTGTTGTTCATGATGATGATGCTGATGGTGGTGACGACGACGACGACGATGACGATGATGATGATGATGATGATGATGATGATGATGATGATGATGATGATGATGATGATGATGATGATGCGGATGATAAAAAATAACGATGATGATGCCGGTGATGATGAGGGTGATGATGATGGTAATGATGGTGATGATGAACAGGGTGCTCATGCATGGTGGTGATTATGTTCGAAAGGAACGATTGGTGGCATCGCCGGCGTCGGAGCGATGCTGCCGAGCTCGGGCGTGGCTTAATGGGGGGGTCATAGATGGGAGGGTCGGAAACGGCCCCCTTTCCTGCCCTTTTCGGGCCCCTCGGGAGCCCCAGGGGGCTCGTTTAGGCACCGTTTGGGATACCTTTTTCGGACCACCCTCGCCCCACCCCCCCTTATGACCCCCCCATTCCCTGACATCCGACGTCTCAATTGTTTCGAGACACGGGCCCCCGACCTCCCGACCACTTCCCCAGGACCTGTTTCTCATCCTGGGTCGTTTTCTGACGGTCCCGAGGCCCAGCGAGGGCCCCGAGAGGCCAAAAAATTCGCGAAACCTCCGTCTCGATTTGTTCGAGACGCCCGACGTCTGGGTTACGCGATGCCCGACGAGCTCCCTCCCGGCCTGCGCCGGCGCCAGCACGCAGGGCCGCACCTGGTGGTATGGCCCATCGCACGCCTCCCCACGGGGGCAGGTCTCTCGTGTGCGGGGGCAGGCGCAGGGCCCGGGAGGGCCAGGAGGGAGAAGCAATGGAGGAGGAGGAGGAGGAGGAGGAGGAGGAGGAGGGGGAGGGAGGAGGAGAAGGAGGA